CTAGACAGCTGCCCTGGGGAATCCCTGATTCTACCTGGATTTTGTTGGAGAGGATTCAATTAAAGAACACCCTCTGTGTTCTGTTAGACAGGTAACTATTTATCCACAGTATAGCAGGGGGTGTAAAGCCATAACACATTTTTCCATCAGCAGACTATGACAGATAATGTCAAAAGCCGCACTGAAGTCTAACAAAACAGCCCCCACAATCTTTTTATCATCAATTTCTCTCAGCCAATCATCAGTCATTTGTGTAAGTGCTGTGCTTGTTGTTTGTCCTTCCCTGTCTTGGAGCATCCCTTTTGTATTTTGTGTAAAATTGTATACAAGTTAATATCCCCAAATCCAAAATGGTTTCCGGACCACAACAGTCCCAACTTTTGAACCTTTAGTTTGTTGGTTATGAATCAGGATATTTTAACACATTTAATATCCATGTTCACAGAACCAAATGTAGAGCTAAGTTGTCCTTCTTTGTTTAAATGCTTTGTTAAACATAGCCAAAAGCAATCAGGGCCTGAGAGAGTGCATTTTATTTAATGTATAAACCTGTACATTGTTAAGGCAAATAATGTTTAAAGTGTATAGAATGGCATTTAGACCACAGCCTGGTATGGGATGAGGACCTACCCACTAAAACGTTATGACTGTTACATTAGATTAAGTTAGGTTAATGTTTTAAAATGGAAACTGAATTTAAGGAATAGATATGTTGATATTTTATGGAGAATATAGCCCTACTTATCTGGTAACTTTACAGTGCCTTGCTAAATATTCACCCCCCTTTGCATTTTTCCTATTCTGTTGCCTTACAACCTGGAATTAAAATAGATTTTTGTGGGGTTTTGTATAATTTGATATACACAACATGCATACCACTTTGAAGATGCAAAACATTTTTTATTGTGAAACAAACAAGAAACAAGACAAAAAAACTACTTGAGCGTGCATAACTATTCACCCCCCCCAAAGTCAATACTTTGTAGAGCCACCTTTTGCAGCAATTACAGCTGCAAGTCTCTTGGGGTATGTCTCTATAATCTAGCCACTGGGATTTTTGCCCATTCTTCAAGGCAAAACTGCTCCAGCTCCTTCAAGTTGGATGGGTTCCGCTGGTGTACAGCAGTCTTTAAGTCATACCACAGATTCTCAATTGGATTGAGGTCTGGGCTTTGACTAGGCCATTCCAAGACATTTAAATGTTCCCCTTAAACCACTCGAGTGTTGCTTTAGCAGTATGCTTAGGGTCATTGTCCTGCTGGAAGGTGAACCTCCGTCCCAGTCTCAAATCTCTGGAAGACTGAAACGGGTTTCCCTCAAGAATTTCCCTGTATTTAGCACCATCCATCATTCCTTCAATTCTGACCAGTTTCCCAGTCCCTGCCGATGAAAAACATCCCCACAGCATGATGCTGCCACCACCATGCTTCACTGTGGGGATGGTGTTCTTGAGGTGATGAAAGGTGTTGGGTTTGCGCCAGACATAGCGTTTTCCTTGATGGCCAAATAGCTCAATTTTAGTCTCATCTGACCAGAGTACCTTCTTCCATATGTTTGGGGAGTCTCCCACATGCCTTTTGGCGAACACCAAACATGTTTGCTTCTTTTTTTCTTTAAGCAATGGCTTTTTTCTGGCCACTCTTCTGTAAAGCCGAGCTCTGTGGAGTGTACGGCTTAAAGTGGTCCTATGGACAGATACTCCAATCTCCGCTGTGGAGCTTTGCAGCTCCTTCAGGGTTATCTTTGGTCTCTTTGTTGCCTCTGATTAATGCCCTCCTTGCCTGGTCCGTGAGTTTTGGTGGGCGGCCCTCTCTTGGCAGGTTTGTTGTGGTGCCATATTCTTTCAATTTTTTATAATGGATTTAATGGTGCTCCGTGGGATGTTCAAAGTTTCTGATATTTTTTTATAACCCAACCCTGATCTGTACTTCTCCACAACTTTGTCCCTGACCTGTTTGGAGAGCTCCTTGGTCTTCATGGTGCCGCTTGCTTGGTGGTGCCCCTTGCTTAGTGGTGTTGCAGACTCTGGGGCCTTTCAGAACAGGTGTACAGTGGGGGAAAAAAGTATTTAGTCAGCCACCAATTGTGCAAGTTCTCCCACTTAAAAAGATGAGAGAGGCCTGTAATTTTCATCATAGGTACACGTCAACTATGACAGACAAAATGAGGAAAAAAAATCCAGAAAATCACATTGTAGGATTTTTTATGAATTTATTTTCAAATTATGGTGGAAAATACGTATTTGGTCAATAACAAAAGTTTCTCAATACTTTGTTATATAACCTTTGTTGGCAATGACACAGGTCAAACGTTTTCTGTAAGTCTTCACAAGGTTTTCACACACTGTTGCTGGTATTTTGGCCCATTCCTCCATGCAGATCTCCTCTAGAGCAGTGATGTTTTGGGGCTGTCCCTGGGCAACACGGACTTTCAACTCCTTCCAAAGATTTTCTATGGGGTTGAGATCTGGAGACTGGCTAGGCCACTCCAGGACCATGAAATGCTTCTTACGAAGCCACTCCTTCGTTGCCCGGGCGGTGTGTTTGGGATCATTGTCATGCTGAAAGACCCAGCCACGTTTCATCTTCAATGCCCTTGCTGATGGAAGGGCATTGAAGATGAAAGTCGTCCTGGTCGTTGGGGCTGTTTTCCCTTTGCAGAAAAACAGCCCCAAAGCATGATGTTTCCACCCCCATGCTTCACAGTAGGTATGGTGTTCTTTGGATGCAACTCAGCATTCTTTGTCCTCCAAACACGACGAGTTGAGTTTTTACCAAAAAGTTCTATTTTGGTTTCATCTGACCATATGACATTCTCCCAATCCTCTTCTGGATCATCCAAATGCACTCTAGCAAACTTCAGACGGGCCTGGACATGTTTTATGTCATTATTTTCTACTCCTTATATATAACCATGTTATTTTCTACTTCCTGTATATAACCATGTTATTTTCTACTCCATATAAATGTATATAGTCATATTTTACTAATTTTTTATTCTTTACTCACTGTCACTATTTCTATTTCTATTTTATCTTATCGTTCTACATTTACATTTTACATTTTAGTCATTTAGCAGACGCTCTTATCCAGAGTGAGTGCATACATTTTTCATACTGGCCAGTTCTCTCTGCATTGTTGGAAAAGGACCCTTCAGTAAACACTGTTAGTGTACACCTGTTTTCTACGAAGCATGTGACAAATAACATATGATTTGACCTCCCCTCCCCAGGTGACTTTTACAGTAGACCAGATCCGTGCGATCATGGACAAGAAGTCCAACATCAGGAACATGTCTGTGATCGCCCATGTGGACCACGGGAAGTCCACGCTCACAGACTCCCTGGTGTGCAAGGCTGGCATCATTGCTGGCGCCCGGGCTGGCGAGACGCGTTTCACAGACACCAGGAAAGATGAGCAGGAGAGGTGCATCACATTCAAGTCAACGTAGGTGTTCCTGCAAGACAATATACCTGGTCATCCTCAATGAATGACCTGCAGAGAGCTGGGACCAAAGTAACAAAGCCTACCATCAGTAACACACTACGCTGCCAGGGACTCAAATCCTGCAGTGCCAGACGTGTCCCCCTGCTTAAGATAGTACATGTCCAGGCCCGTCTGAAGTTTGCTAGAGTGCATTTGGATGATCCAGAAGAGGATTGGGAGAATGTCATATGGTTAGATGAAACCAAAATAGAACTTTTTGGTAATAACTCAACTCGTCGTGTTTGGAGGACAAAGAATGCTGAGTTGCATCCAAAGAACACCATACCTACTGTGAAGCATGGGGGTGGAAACATCATGCTTTGGGGCTGTTTTTCTGCAAAGGGACCAGGACGACTGATCCGTGTAAAGGAAAGAATGAATGGGGCCATGTATCGTGAGATTTTGAGTGAAAACCTCCTTCCATCAGCAAGGGCATTGAAGATTAAACGTGGCTGGGTCTTTCAGCACGACAATGATCCCAAACACACTGCCCGGGCAACGAAGAGTGGCTTCGTAAGAAACATTTCAAGGTCCTGGAGTGGCCTAGCCAGTCTCCAGATCTCAACCCCATAGAAAATCTTTGGAGGGAGTTGAAAGTCCGTGTTGCCCAGCGACAGCCCCAAAACATCACTGCTCTAGAGGAGAACTGCATGGAGGAATGGGCCAAAATACCAGCAACAGTGTGTGAAAACTTTGTGAAGACTTACAGAAAACGTTTGACCTGTGTCATTGCCAACAAAGGGTATATAACAAAGTATTGAGAAACTTTTGTTATTGACCAAATACTTATTTTCCACCATAATTTGCAAATAAATTCATAACAAATCCTACAATGTGATTAACTGGATTATTTTTTCTCAATTTGTCTGTCATAGTTGACGTGTACCTATGATGAAAATTACAGGCCTCTCATCTTTTTAAGTGGGAGAACTTGCACAATTGGTGGCTGACTAAATACTTTTTTCCCCCATAGGCAACAATTGTGTAATAATTATGCAATAATTATTTTTTTGATTTGTACATTGTGTTTGACATTCTTTTGTCAATTTCACAGGGTTGTTCCAATGCTTTATCAATTCCATGGTTTACAGGCTACATTTAGGCTCCTTCATACTATTTTTAAAATAAATGGACAACATCCAAATGTATTGGTCAGCAATAACCCATTGCATTTGATTGGTAAAATTGTAAGTAAAATACATTTGATTGGTAGGCCTAAAAATAGAAAAAATACAGGCTAAAACATCTAAGGACTATCCAAAATATGCGTGTAGTGACGCACAGCACAGGACACGTGTTGGCACACCATGTGAACCAAAAGTCTCTCAACATCCTCCTGAAACTAGGCCTAGATCATTACCCTGGTCCAAGTAAATAACTGTCCATGTTTCAAGTAAAGATACAAAGGATCTTTGGGAAAGATGAAGGCGCGAGCGCCTCTTTGGCGCCACCCAGCAGTGATTCTCGTGCAGGTTGCTATGGTAATCGGCCAGCGTAAGTAAATAACAGTAAAATATGGAGGAGGACAACGCTGCCGCGGCTCTCGACAATATTGTGACGGAATTTCACACATACGAAGATTTCCTCGACTCTCAAATTACGTCTTTGGACTTGTATTATTTCGAGGTAACGTTTTAAAAGTGTTTGCAAATGTTTTGATAAATTGCTGCCAGCGTTTACCCCCACACCCGACGTGTCGTTGGCAAGTTGGCAAGCCAAACTTCCTTTGCTAACGTTACGTAGCTAGCTAACCTAGCGATAGATTAACATAGCTTGCCATATGCAGTTGGCATTACTTGGTTGACATTGCTATTGTACCCCCTTGTGCAATGCAAAAAGTTCTGTGTAGTCTACCTTGGAACATGTTTGTTGTGGTAGTCAAAATTATCAGGCGGTAGGTGGCAGTATAGGCCTTGACTTCAGTGAGTCATTCATTGGTACGTTCATTAAGGAATAAAGTCAAAGCTGTGTTCGAATATCCATACCAACATACTGTATACTACATACTTAATGAGTATGTACTACATACTATTAGTTCATTTTAGTATACTGTAAACGAACGGTGTCGTTTCAGTTGAGCCTGGACACTTACTGACAGTTGTGGCTGCTTCACGTGATGTACTGTTGTCTCTACCTTCTTGCCCTTTGTGCTGTTGTCTGTGCCCAATAATGTTTGTACCATGTCTTGTGTTGCTACCATGCTGTGTTGTCATGTGTTGCTGCCATGTTATGTTGTTGTCTTAGGTCTCTCTTTATGTAGTGTTGTGTTGTCTCTCTTGTTGTGATGTGTGTTTGGTCCTATATTTATATATAATCATTTTTTAAATCCCAGCTCCCGTCCCCGCAGGAGGCCTTTTGCCTTTTGGTAGGCCGTCATTGTAAATAAGAATTTGTTCATAACTGACTTGCCTAGTTAAATAAAGGTTAAAATAATAATAAAAAAGTGTACTACTAGTGTTACGCCTGTCTACCGGAAGTTGATGCTGTTGCTATGCAACATCTTACTAGCTTGTTGGCGTAACACGTTACTGGCAAGATGTTTTACGACTTCGGGTGTGTTCGTAAATTCATTCTGGAGTGCCAGAGTGCGCTCTGGGGGTTCGTAAATTCAGAGCGTTGTCAGTTTGTAAATCCAGAGCGTTGTCAGATTGTCAGTTTGTAAATCCAGAGCGTTGTCAGATTGTCTGTTCGTAAATCCAGAGCGTTGTCAGATTGTCTGTTCGTAAATTCAGAGCGTTGTCAGATTGTCTGTTTGTAAATTCAGAGCGTTGTCAGATTGTCTGTTTGTAAATTCGAGCGTTCAGAACGCACACTGGAGGAGTAGGGTTGATTCAAGCGTTCTGACCCCACAACGGCAGTCAAGCACCCAAGCTAACTGGCTAGCTACTTCCAATACAAATGAGAAACCTCACTGACCATTTTACTCGCCCTAGCAGAGCTGGTTAGGCTGTTTTCATGTTATCCAGAGCGTTGGTGACTGTAACAGTGCTGGCAACAATTTAATTACGCCTTTTTTCCCCCCGACGTTTACTGACACCGGCGGTATTCAACGGGGGTTGAGGGTTCTTAACAGTTCATCAGTTATTCTGCGCTCTGGCACACTCAGACGAGAGTGTTCTGAAATTGGAGTAGATAGCCAGAGCGAATTTACGAACGCACCCAAATTAACAATGTCAATTGAGAACGCACAAGGACTATACCACTTAGCTAAGATAAGAATGACGTGAATAATCAAGTCAATGGGTAGTTAGTTAGATATCATATAATTAATATACTGGCAAGTTCAATGTATTAGGAGCAGACTAACGTTAGGTAACTTAGCTAGCTAACATACCGGTACACATACTGCTGTAATGCTATGCGGTTCGTAAGGATAGCGTAGCTAACAAATTATCAGACAACATTTTTTAAATTTTTTTTTATTTAATTTTTTATTTAACCAGGTAAGCCAGTTGAGAACAAGTTCTCATTTACAACTGCGACCTGGCCAAGATAAAGCAAAGCAGTGCGATAAAAACAACAACACAGAGTTACATATGGGGTAAACAAAACATACAGTCAATAACACAATAGAAAATGTATATACAGTGTAACATAACGTGTGACTTAAGTTATTTGAAAAGTAATTACTTTATTACATTACTCAACATTTTCTTAACATTTGTCATAATTAGTTAAAGCAATGAATTTGTATCCTCTCTCGTCAGACTTCGGCTGCATATTTTCCGCCATTTTCATCAAATCTGAAAACATTGTGAAGCCACGCCCATTTTCGGAATAATTGGATTATGGGCCCTAAAAGCACGGAAATAGTGTCCACTGCTTGTATACTTAAGCAATAAGACCCGAGGGGGTGTGGCATATTTACATGTACTTTTTAGTTATTTAGCAGACGCTCTTATCCAGAGCGACTTACAGTTAGTGAGTGCATACATTTTCATTCTTCTGCACATCTATCACTCCAGTGTTAATACTAAATTATAATTGTAATTATTTTGCACTATGGCCTATTTATTGCCTTACCTCCATAACTTACTACATTTGCACACACTGTATATGGCCAATATACCACGGCTAAAGGCTGTTCTTATGCACGATGCAACGCGGAGTGCTAGGACACAGCTCTTAGCCGTGGTATATTGGTCATATATCACAAACCCCTGAGGTGCCATACTGCTATTATAAACTGGTTACCAACGTAATTAGAGCAGTAAAAATAAATGTTTGTCATACCCATGGTATACAGTCTGATATACCACGGCTTTCAGCCAATCAGCATTCAGGGCTTGAACCACCCAGTTAATAATTGGTATTTTGCCGAATGTAGTACGACATCAGGGAACCTTTGACATACTAACTATATCCATACTATGACCAATAAGCATACTACATACTCAATTTATGTCACAAATAGTATGGTTAGTGAGAGGAAGCCCAGTGGCCGACAGTGGGAGAAGATGGATTTTGGCCGACATTCTGCAAATTTTCTCATCGATGACATTTGAGCTCAATACAGTTTTCTGTTCCCAAAATTAGAATCTGTTATGAACAGTGGACTACGTTTTGTAGACTTTAACCTTTGCCAAAGTTGTAAAAAATTGCGTTGTTTAGAAGGAGTGCAAAGGCGAATTGAGTTAACCCGCACTTCACAGAGTTGGTGTTTCCTAATGGGATTATGCAGATGTATGGTAGAACGGGCCAATAGGATCTCGCTAGCTCCTGCTTGGCTCTGCCCACCATCTTGCTTGTTCTGCCCACTATGAATCATTTGTTCCTATTGGAAACGACAGGCTGTGGTCTATCTTGGTTTAGTTATACAAATCTTTGATAATACTATCCAGAAATACTCCAAAGAAGTCAAACTGTTCAACTCAGTGTTTTCCACAAGACAATGCACATTTTTGTGCTAGCCCTGCACTGGCACACCTTAGTCACCTAATCACCAAGCCTTTTGATTTGTTGAAATAGATGTGCTCATGCTTGGTTAGAACCCAAATGTGCACTGTCACTGACTGTTGAGAAACCCCTAGCTTTATGCAATCATCATTCTACAACACCTAGGCTTAGCCTTCTTGTCCAATCTATAATCCATCTAGTGTTGGCTCCCTTAGCCAATGTCTAGGCTTTAACTCAGAGGTCTAACACTGTCTGTGGCGGATTTGAACCCAGTTGGTTGATTTCCATAAACAAACTGAACGTGGCCCCATGTTGTCCCTGACAGGAATAAATGGTACATTTATCTTATTATCTCCTTGCTTACTTAGGATTTGTTAATGTGGCGTTAAAGTGATGAGGTTTATAAACAAGTCAGCTGTTAGTTAACTAGGTCTAGTATATCTCATTAGCCAGAATAATATGCAATTGTTGAGGCCCCCTGTGGACTAATAACTAATACATTTATTATCTGACTGCTTGCTTACTTTTGTTAATGTTAATGTGGTGTTAAAGAGATGAGTCACTCGCTAGGCCTAGTTTAGGTCATTAGCCCACAATATAATATTCACTTTAAAGTGTGCCTTGTTTCAGCACTACCTCCCAGAGACAGTTGGGTCATTCCTAGGCAGAGAATGTTTATGTTAAATGACAGTGATTAGCATCATGGAAACATTATTTATTTATTTTCCTGAGAAGGGACTCATTTTTATCAGTCTAATCAATCCAACAAAGACATTTTTAAAAAATCCTCCAAAAAAATGGTGGTCATGAAAAAGGGCTAAATTAGTTTATACTGAACAAAAATAGACACAACATGCAACAATTTCAAAGATTTTACTGAGTTACAGTTCATATAAGGAGATCAGTCAATTTAAATAAATAAATTAGGCCCTAATCTATGGATTTAAAATGACTGGGAATACAGATATGCATCTGTTGGTCACAGATACCTTTTAAAAAAAGTAGGGGCGTAGATCAGAAAACCAATCAGTATCTGGTGTGACCACCATTTGCCTCTTGCAGCGCGACACATCTCCTTCGCATAGAGTTGATCAGGCTGTTGATTGTGGCCTGCGGAATGTTGTCCCACTCCTCTTCAACGGCCGTGCGAAGTTGCTGGATATTGGCGGGAACTGGAACACGCTGTTTTACACGTTGATCCAGAGCATCCCAAACATGCTCAATGGGTGACATGTCTGGTGAGTATGCAGGCCATGGAAGAACTGGGACATTTTCAGCTTCCAGGAATTGTGTACAGATCCTTGCGACATGGGGCCGTGCATTATCATGCTGAAACATGAGGTAATGGAGGCGGATGAATGGCACGACAATGGGCCTCAGTATCTGCCATCTGACCGGTACAGTTGAAACCGGGATTAATCCGTGAAGAGCACACTTCTCCAGCATGCCAGTGGCCATTGAAGGTGGGCATTTGTCCACTGAAGTCAGTTACGACGCCGAACTGCAGTCAGGTCAAGACCCTGGTGATCCTTTTTCAGTTCATGAAACATGGGACCAACACTTTACATGTTGCGTTTATATTTTTGTTCAGTGTAGTTTGACTGTCCAATCTTTTTTTTTTGTAATCTTTTTTAAAAATATATGTAAATCTTTTTTGATCCCTGTCAAAGGGGGGGTATTTGTCAGTCAATATGAGAAATGTCATAAATTCAGTTCACAGAAGGCCACTAGGCCTATAAAGCTTGGCCAGCAGATGGGACTATCGACTATTGCTGAGGAGTTACATAACGTTCAGCTGAATAGCCGGGCCATGCTGGAACACCTGTGTCCACAGAGGGTAGAACACAACACGTATCTCACCTGGTTATCAGCCATGGACAAACAGTATCAAACTCTATCACCTCCCTCACTTGGCTGGTCAGGTGTGGACACACTGCAGTCAACCCAGGTCTAGGCTAAACCTGCGCAGTCATGACTTGTGTAGGTATTGATCAAGTGTGTTGTTGCCAATGGTTTTTCTATGGACACTTTAACTGACACTGTTGTTTGATAGCATTTAGGCCTAGGTTAGTCAAATGTACATTTCTGAAAATCTGACTAGGGTTTTCCCCAGAGTCAGGTATTTAGAGAGTTGGTATATTGAGGTTTCAGCGTTATGATATTCAAAATTAAAAAAAATTGGCCCAACTCTCTAAATACATTGCTCTGGTTTGCTCTGGTTTGCCCTATAACATCTAGGCCTACAGGAAACCCCAACAACCAGTCAGAAGTTTATTTAGATAACATTTTTGGTTTGAGTCCATTCAGCAACATAATCTCAGTTGTTTAAAACAAGCAAATCAAGTTTGAATAGCAGAACTCAGAACAGTCAAATGGATTCAGTCAATGAGCCTTGACGTGACAACGAATGAAGACAGTGAACACCAATCACTGACCGAATAAAGCTATTTTGGAAACAATAGAACTCTAGCAGAGACTGGTTTGCTTGGAATGGTTTGCCACATGAAAGATGAAGGAAAAAAAATTTTCCCTGACTTTTCTGGATGCCGAGGCCTGAGGACTGGCTGGATGAGGACTGTCTGGGCTTGGCTTAGCCTAGTTTGGGTAGTAGAATGACATGTGGCGCAAGCCTTGATCCAACAAGCCAACCAGCCACAGGCCTGGGTTGGGTTGGGCTTAAAAGGGGATAGCTCTGTTTAGATGACTGGTCATGATGATGTGTACATATCAAGCTATGTCCTTACCACAGATTTGACCACAAGCATGCTGCCTCCCTTAACCTAACCCCAACGACCTCCGCTATGCACACACACACACACACACACACACAATCTTTTTTTAAATCTACAATTAATCTTTAGCTGACTGTCCACTTGTGTTTTGCATTGTCTGCTCCAGCCTCCATTCAAAAAGAAGCACAACGTGTGTGTGTTTATTTTCATTGGTTCATCAGGATGAGGAGTTGGCCCGCCAGCTGGTGGAGCTTGGCTATAGGGGCAGCGGAGAGGTCCTGAAGAGGGAGGAATTTGAGACCAGGAAAGCAGCTGCAGAGGCCTCCAGGCTCTCCAAGAGGAGCCAGCAAAAGTAAGTCAGTTAGCTTCACTCTGTCTGTCTGTCAACTGGTGACCGCAGTGCTCTCCAAGGGGAAGGCACTGTCTGTCTGTCAACTGGTGACCGCAGTGCTCTCCAAGGGGAAAGCACTGTCTGTCTGTCAACTGGTGACCGCAGTGCTCTCCAAGGGGAAAGCACTGTCTGTCTGTCAACTGGTGACCGCAGTGCTCTCCAAGGGGAAAGCACTGTCTGTCTGTCAACTGGTGACCGCAGTGCTCTCCAAGGGGAAAGCACTGTCTGTCTGTCAACTAGTGACCACAGTGCTCTCCAAGGAGAAGGCACTGTCTGTCTGTCAACTAGTGACCACTGCTCTCCAAGGGGAAGGCACTGTCTGCTTGGGCTTGTGTCTTTGTGTGTGTTTTGTAATTACATTGCTGGATTTGACTTCATTGTAGAAAGGAAAATGTTGTGATGATTTCAGCTTGATCCGACATCCGCAGCGATTACGATCTCTGTGAATGTCGTCTGGGATATTATTATGTTTTATTTAATCAGGGGAGCCCTTTGAGACCAGGGTCTCATTTTCAATGGTGCCCTGAGGACAACATATTCAACACAAACATTCCAATACAAAATAAATAAAAACTACAGGTTACAATTCCAAAAACGAGAATTTCAACACCACAATTCATTTGTAAATTTAATCAAAACAAATTCAATTCTCATTTAACAAATTCAACATTAAACTCTTAAACTGCCCTAGCAGCATCAGGGAATCAAGACGCAGGGAGTTCTGCAGGTTATTCAAAAAATGGGGGGCATTAAAACTGAAGGCAGATTTACCTAATTCGGTGGAGACCCGAGGAACCTCAAGAGTTAACCAACCCTGTGAACGGGGTAGGTATCTTAAAGTTAGGTAAGTCAGAAGCTTGTGTAGTAGAGCTTTGTAAACAGAAAGGGAATAGTGAAGTGATCTACGGAACTTTAATGAGGACCAGCCAACCTTTTGATACAGGATGCAGTGATGCGTATTAAAACTGTTACGTGTGATAAAGTGAAAGGCGCTATGGTAGACTGCATCCACAGGTTTAAGAGCAGTGGCTGCTGCATTCTGGTAAATGGAGTCAACGTAGTCAAGAACTGGCAGGAAAGTTGACTGCACAATCTGCTTCCTGCTGTTTAGGGAGAGGCAAGATCTATCTCTAAAAAAGAAGCCCACTGTAAATCTTAGCTTTTTAACTAGCTCATCAGTATGTTTTTTAAACGTTTAATCCTTGTCAATCCAAATGCCCCGATATTTATAGGCGGGAACCCGATCGATTAGAGAACCATACAATAAATAAATATGTAGTCCATCTGAAACATTTTTGTGAGAATTAGAGAACAACATGGATTTAGACTTGCCAACATTAAGTACAAGTTTTAAACCAACCAGGGCTTTCTGTTAGGTAACAAGGTCCCATTGCAGCTCTAACATTGCCTGGTCTACAGTTGGAACGGGATACATAACAGTATCGTCTGCATACAGATGAATATTGCAAGTTTTAACAGATAGATCAATATTATTTATATATTTAGTAAAGAGAACATGTCCCAATACCGAGCCCTGTGACACCTTTCATAATATCCAGGAAACTAGACTTAAAACTATCAGAAATCACACATTGTATCCTGACAGATAATTCTCAAACCACTTGCAAGAAGCCTGATCCAGGCCTATTTCAGTCAACTTTTGAATGAGAACTTGATGTTCAACAGTGTCAAAGGCCTTGGAAAAGTCTATAAATAAGGCAGCACAATGATTTTTATGATCCAAGCAATTTAACACATTTAAATCAAGCGTAGCAGCTGAAACTGTGCTGTATCCTGGTCTAAAACAGGATTTGTGCACATTAACAATAGAGTGAGAAGTTAAAGTTCTCTGCTGAGAGTTGGCCAGGGATTCTAAAACTTTGGAAAGGCAAGAATATTTTGAAATTCGACGGTAGTTATCTAAGTCAGAAGTCTATTGCAGTGTGCAGGTTGTTAATCTGGGTTGGTGATAGGAGACATAGCCTGGTCCCAGATCTGTTATTGCTGTCTTCTTACAAACTCCAGATGTAGGACTAGGCTAGAGGAGACTCCCCCGTAGATGAACTGAAACCATCTCAAACTCTCTGCTAGAGGAGGTGAACTTGCTGAAACATGTTCATACTTGATTTAGCCGTTTGATGAGGAACTATGTCTTTAATGTAGCCTATTCCCTCTGTGCCCTGGTGTGACCTGGCTAAAAGTTAACCATTTATGACGTTCATCACCAAGGCAAATATCGTGCTGTAACTCCGAGGCTACCCCTGAGAACATTCTCACTAGGGTACTGAGGTAATCCTAGATCAACTCCAAACCTAGGCTACCCCTGAGAACATTCTCACTAGGGTACTGAGGTAATCCTAGATCAACTCCAAACCTAGGCTACCCCTGAGAACATTCTCACTAGGGTACTGAGGTAATCCTAGATCAACTCCAAACCTAGGCTACCCCTGAGAACATTCTCACTAGGGTACTGAGGTAATCCTAGATCAACTCCAACCTAGGCTAACCCCTGAGAACCTATTCTCACTAGGGTTACTGAGGGTAATCCTAGATCAACCCAAACCTAGGCTACCCCTGAGAAACCACCCCATTCTCACTAGGGTACTGAGGTAATCCTAGATCAACTCCAAACCTAGGCTATCCCTGAGAACATTCTCACTAGGGTACTGAGGTAATCCTAGATCAACTCCAAACCTAGGCTACCCCTGAGAACATTCTCACTAGGTGTAAAGTCCATGGAGAATAAGAGCACCTCCTCCCAGCTACCCACTGCATTGAGGCTAGGAAACACTGTCACCACCGATAAATCTATGATAATCGAGAATTTCAAGAAGCATTTTGCTACGGCTGGCCATGCTTTCCACCTGGTTACCCCTACCCCGGCCATCAGCTCTGCACCCTCCGCTGCAACTTGCCCATGCCCCCCCCCCCCCGCTTCACCTTCACCCAAATTCAGATAGCTGATGTCCTGAAAGAGCTGCAATATCTGGACCCCTACAAATCAGCTGGGCTAGACAATATGGACCCTTTCTTTCTAAAATTAGCCGCCGAAATGGTCGCAACCCCTATTACTAGCCTGTTCAACCTCTCTTTCATATCGTCTGAGATCCCCAGAGATTGGAAAGCTGCCGGGGTCATCCCCCTCTTCTAAGGGGGTGACACTCTAGATCCAAACTGTTACAGACCTATATCCATCCTGCCCTGCCCTTCGAAAGTATTTGAAAGCCTAGTTAACAAACAGATCACCGACCATTTCGAATCCCACCGTACCTTCTCCGCTATGCAATGCGGTTTCCAAGCTGGTCATGGGTGCACCTCAGCCACGCTCAAGGTCCTAAACGATATAATAACTGCGATTGATAAAAGACAGTACTGTCTTCATCGACCTGGCCATGGCTTTTGACTCTGTCAATCACCGCATTCTTATTGGCAGACTAAATAGCCTTGGTTTCTCAAATGACTGCCTCGCCTGGTTAACCAACTACTTCTCAGATAGAGTTCAATGTGTCAAATCGGAGGGCCTGTTGTCTGGACCTCTGGCAGTCTCTATGGGGGTGCCACAGGGTTCAATTCTCGGGCCGACTCTATTCTCTGTGTATATCAATGATGTCGCTCTTGCTGCTGGTGACTCTCAGATCCACCTCTACGCAGATGACACCATTTTGTATACATCTGGCCCTTCATTGGACACTGTAATAACAAACCTCCAAACGAGCTTCAATGCCATACAACACTCCTTCCGTGGCCTCCAAATGCTCTTAAACGCTAGTAAAACTAAATGCATGCTCTTCAATCGAACGCTGCTTGCACCCGCCCGCCCGACTAGAATCGGCGGGTCTGACTTAGAATATGTGGACAACAACAAATACCTAGGTGTCTGGTTAGACCGTAAACTCTCCTTCCAGACTCACATTAAGCATCTCCAATCCAAAGTTAAATCTAGAATCGGCTTCCCATTTCGCAACAAAGCCTCCTTCACTCATGCTGCCAAACATGCCCTTGTAAAACTGACTATCCTACCGATCCTTGACTTCGGCGATGTAATTTACAAAATAGCTTCCAACACTCTACTCAGCAAATTGGATGTAGTCTATCACAGTGCCATCCGTTTTGTCACCAAAGCCCCATATACTACCCACCATTGTGACCTGTACGCTCTCGTTGGCTGGCCCTCACTACATATTCGTCGCCAAACCCACTGGCTCCAGGTCATCTATAAATCACTTATAGGCAAATCCCCGCCTTATCTTAGATCATTGGTCACCATAGCAACACCCACCCGTAGTATGCATTCCAGCAGGTATATCTCACTGGTCATCCCCAAAGCCAACACCGCCTTTGGCCGCCATTCCTTCCAGTTCTCTGCTGCAAATGACTGGAACGAACTGCAAAAATCTCTGAAGCTGGAGACTCTTATCTCCCTCACTAACTTTAGGCAACAGTTGTCAGAGCAGCTTACCGATCACTGCACCTGTACACAGCCCATCTGTAATTAGCCCACCCAACTACCTCATCCCCATATTGTTATTTACATTATTCATTTTGCTCATTTGCACCCCAGTGTCTCTATTTGCACATCATCTTCTGCACATCTCCAGTGTTAATACTCAATTGTAATTATTTTGCACTATGGCATATGTATTGCCTTACCTCCATAACTTACTACATTTGCACACACTGTATATAAATTTTCTATTGTGTTATTGACTGTATGTTTTGTTTACCCCATATGTAACTCTGTGTTGTTGTTTTTATCGCACTGCTTTGCTTTATCTTGGCCAGGTCGCAGTTGTAAATGAGAACTTGTTCTCAACTGGCTTACCTGGTTAAATAAAGGTGAAATAAAAAAAAATAGATATATATATTTAGCAGATGTTATTGCGGATGTAGCGAAATGCTTATGTTCCTAGCTCAAACAGTGCAGTAGTATCTAACAATTCACAACAATACACACAAATG